ACTCTCTTTCTCAAATGAGTAAAGAAATCTTTTTTAAAAATACCAAAATGCTTACTATTAAATTGATAAATTATGTTTATAGTTCATTAAGCTTTCATGGAAGCTTCTGGGATGCCTGGGTGGCTCAGTCGGTTAAGCGTCTGCCCTGGGCTCAGGTCATGATTCCAGGGTCTTGGGATCGAGTCCTGCATCAGGCTCCTTGCTTGTGCACTTTCTCCCTCTGACAAAAAAAAAAAAGGTAAGCATCCTGGTGGCAGGATCTTTATGTTTTGTTCACTGATGAATCCTAAAGTTCTGGAACAGGGTCAGGCATATAATAGGTGCTTAATATTTTAGAAACTGAACCAAATTGAACTGAATTCCCCCCATAGCCCACTAGTCCCCTGACTCTCCTTCCCTACAGACCATTTCCACAACTCTCTTGATCCCACTGGTTTCCCATCACACACACACACACACACACACACACACCCACCAGGACCAGAAACCCACCCTCCCAGCCCTCACCTCTAGATGCTTTTGGGCTTTCAGAGAGAGGAAATCTCTCCAAGAGTACCTCACAGACCCACTCAAGAAAGCTAGATACACATATGTAGCCGAACGAATCCTGTTTTGTTTTGAAATGGGAATATCTTATTCATTTTGATACTTATAAAAATAACATTAGGGGCGCCTGGGTGGCTCAGTCAGTTGAGCTTCTGCCTTCGGCCCAGGTCATGATTCCGGGGTCCTGGGATCAAGCCCCGTGTCAGGCTCCCTGTTCAGTGGAGAGCCTGCTTCTCCCTCTCCCTCCGACCCTTACCCCTGCTCGTGCTCTCTTTGTCTCTCAAAAAAATAATCTTTTTTATTTTTTTCAAGATTTTATTTATTTATTTGACAGAGAGAGACACAATGAGAGAGGGAACACAAGCAGGGGGAGAGGGAGAGGCAGAAGCAGGCTTCCCGCGGAGCAGGGAGCCTGACATGGGGCTCGATCCCAGGATCCTGGGATCATGACCCGAGCCGAAGGCAGACGCTTAACAACTGAGCCACCCAGGAGCCCCACAGATAATCTTTAAAAAAAAATAACAATAAAAAAGATAACCCAAGAGGCACTTGGCTGGCTCAATCAGTAGAGCCTGTGACTCTTGAACTTGGGGTGGTGAGTTCAAGTCCCACATTGGGTGTAGAGATTACTTTAAAAACTTTTTCAAAAAAAAAAAAAAGATATCCCCAAAGTGCTGGTTATTAGCTGCAAACATGAGTAGCATTTGGCACTGCATGAACCTCCGCAGGCAGCAGAGGACCGGGGTGAACTGGACCACCCTGGGCTCCCTGTCTTTCCCTTTTCCTCTCTCTGTCCCGACAGACCCACCTGGAGGCTTCTCATCTGCCTGACTGTTGCTGAGACGTGCCCCCCACTCCCAAAGGCAGGACAGCATGTTTTGGGGGAACGGAAGCTCCCTGGAACTACACTCCGAATGTTCTAACGTACCCGACAAAGGGGTTCTACTGGGCCCACTGCTCAAAGCAACCGCAAAGACCAAAATCTCGACTCCCCAGAGCTATAACAATCACCATCTGTTTATTTATATGTATGCCCCATCTCATTCCAAAAGGAAACTGAGCTCTGAAAATCAGATCACGCGATATACACCAGATTATTTTCACACCACGTATTGTATTGTACAAATACTTTTGCAAAGGTAGCAGGGTTTTGAGTGTAGTCAATCAGTCTCCCACCACCCTCGTGAGGCAAAGGCTTTCTATGTTTCCATATTCCAAAGGTATAGGCAGAGTTTCAAGTCTGTATTCTGCCACCTTCTCCTCGCGTTGCCTTACGACCATTGGTCATGTTCCTTCATGGTCTTTGTCACTACACCTTTTCCTGGACTATAATATCACATCACCTAGGTTTTACCATCTTGGTGAGAGCAGTAACAGTCTTCTAGAAAAGGCTTCCGCCCCGCCCCCCAGCCCTCCCCACTGTATCTAGTTCCAGTGGGACAACCAACCACTGCAACCTCCTCGCGGCCATGGTTTGGTCCAATCGCGGGACCCCATTCCTCTGGCCACAGCAACAGGCCCAGGAATACACAAGTCACCCCAGCCAAGACAGCCTCCTTCCCTGGGCCCCTGGGAAAGAGCCGCTTTCTCTTTCCTCCAAG